AAAAAAAAATTAGTTTTAAGAAGAATTTAATCACTTTGTTTTTGCAATTATATGATGTGGTGATGAAATCTGAATAGGAGTGAACTGCATCATTGACAAAATCTTATAATTATGTTCTTATGTAAACATTTCATTGTAGTATTTTACATATAATTTTTGTTTATTTTTGGTAACAAACTGTTTTCTTTTAAATTCTTTGATAGGTCTTCCCACTTGCCTTTTGTGTACATGCCTAGGGACCACAGTGTACTGCGACGATCATGAGCTTGACGCTATTCCACCATTGCCCAAGAAAACAACATATTTCTACTCACGCTACAACAGAATCAGGAAGATCAACAGAAATGACTTTGCTAACTTAAGTATGGACAGTAGTATTGTTGCAATTAGCAACAATATTTCTATTATTTCTGGCTCATATTAATCTAAGATATAGTGATTCATTTTATGTATTGTTTGATGATGGTAGGATTATACACATAAATGCACATATGGAAAAGTGGTTTGCTACTTTTGAAAGTGAAGGTCGATACTTCAAATACAGATTGTCAAACTTTTGAATTATTAGAAATAACAACAATCGTATCTTTTTACTGTTACTTGTAACCAGCTTTGTAAAGGAAGGAAAAAACACAAACCTCATGGAACATTTGTAGCATATTAGAAAGTACTGCTTTCCTGAACAAGACAAGTTCTCAGGTAGACATATTTTCAAATATTTGCAAAGTACCTGTGTGAAAAGATTTTTACCTTTAAATTTTACCTTTAATGTATATGTTCATTTTTTACTCTAGCATTATCTAGGAAAATCTTCAATAAATGAAAACTGTGAATCCAAAATCATTTGTGGTCTAAAATTGTCAAAAATTGGTGATTTGGGGAGCTTATATTTTCACATTTCCTACTTGACATTCTTAAAGATATCTAATTTTTCAGCAAGTATTAAGCCTCTCCTGTTTAGGGATATAGACTGCTCTATACTCACCAACCTGAGTATCAAACCCCATTCTTTGATTTTACTTTAGACCTAACTTTGTGTAACTAATGCTTATTGATTTCATTATGAAAAGTGTGGAATCAGTGCCAAAAAAAGGTTACCACAATAATTCATGGGAATGCATAGATCCGTATAGAAAACTATAAGGGTTTGGCTTGCTAAAACCAAGATGAAGGTTGGAACCTTCATAGAAGGAACACAACTGGTATTTAAAAAAAACCCCAAACCAATAAATACTAAGAAGAGGAAAAAAAAAAAAAAATATTTAGGGTAACCTATACTGCTAGCATAAGAATAAAATAATAAAGGAAAATAACATTGAAAAACATTCTGGGTAGGAAATAGAAGTAAGCTACAGAGTAATGCAAATCAAATAAATTCATATTAATGCACTGGTATTTAGACATTGTTCGCTTTTGCCAAAAATAAGTTTCATTTTCTTTTTTTGATTGGAAAAAAAATGTTTGAATGTATTTTAGAGAAAAGTCAATATATCAGATTTCTTATATAGAGGAAAATATTGAAAATAAAAAAAAAAAAAAAACCATGTGGAACAACATGGTAGTTAATATGATTGTTTCTCTTTAAACATTATTTTTTCCAAAAGACAACCATTTAAAAGATTCCTAGAACACACAGAAATGTTAAAACTATTAAATTTAAAATCTTTCACTGAAATATGTATGAAGAATGACACAGGCAATTCTAAATAGGATTAGAAGGAGATGTTGGTCCCCTTACTGAGGAGCACTCTTCAAATACAGATTATTGCATTATCTACAGAGAGAGAGAGCAGTCATATAGGGGGTCAGGAATGGATCTCATTCAAGATGCTTTACCTGTAATTTAAATAACCCATTTGCCTTTTTTTAAAAAAAACAAACTTTCAGGAAATACATTCTTACATCTTGTTGTATCTTATTTCTCTGGCAGATAATTTAAAGAGGATTGATTTGACTGCAAACTTTATATCAGAAATCCATGAAGATGCCTTCCGGAGATTGCCCCAACTTGAGGAGCTGGTGCTCCGTGACAATAGGATAAGGCAACTCCCGGAATTACCATCTACCTTAACATTTATTGATGTTAGTAAGAACAGGCTTGGTCGCAAAGGAATACGTAATGAGGCATTTAAAGTAAGTCTGGGTTTGACAGGAAAACCTTTTGTTCCTCTCTCCAAAGGACATGGTCAGAAGAGGAACCTAAGCGTCCCTCTACATGAGTAAAAGTCTTAAGATTATAGGCATCAAGAAGGTGCTGGCTGCTGTGCAATCTGTAAGGGTGGAGCAATATGTATGAACATTATCACCTGGAAATGAGAACCCTTTTTAGTCTTCTTTACAAATATTCACCTGAGACATTAAATGGCACAATATATTTCTATCTATGAACCAAATACCCAAATGACTGGCAAGACTCCAGAAAGCTGCTTGATGTTCCCTTACAAGTCGTCAAAAGGGAGGAGCAAAGCTATGGATGCCACTTGCTTCAAACTTACTCTGGCATGTATCTGCATGGGAACTTGCTAGAGTATTCATTTAATGTATATACATTTTTTCCACCTTGAAAAGCAGCAAAATTGGAACCTCTGATTGATCATCCTTCCTCCAAAGAATTTTGGTGGGGAGAAGCAGGCATGTACTGCTCTGATTGCATGTGAAATCTGTGGTCATTATAAAATATAATCCAGCTTCATATATTAGTCCTGGCTCATATGCACTATTCAATTGCATCAGAGAAAGCAGTTGTAACCAGCCATCTCTGAATTTCTCCTTGGGAAGACTGCTTTTCTACCAAGCAACCACCAGCAGTTACTGAATCAGATATTTTCTCCTAGGTCAACATAAGGCAGTTGTTGGGAATAAAAAAGATGGGCAAAAATCAGTCCCCCAATTCGAGACTCTGGCCTTTTCTTCTACACTCTCCTAATTTTAGCCATGAAGGAGTCTCAGTCTTTATCTTCCATATTTGCCAAGAACCTCCACCCTCATATCTCAGAGTTCTGTCACTAGGAATTAAACTAGGATGTTGCACTCAAAGTAGTTAAGTACCATGATAACTTCTGGGTGTATAAAGGGGGCAAAATGAGAGTATTCTACTGGGTCTTATTGGCCTAGCCAAGTTTATATCTTATTATTGTTATAATTACAAGCTGAAGCTGCTTCTTCCACTAAGTCAAGGGAGAAAATTATTTACCTTTTCAAATGGAAATATATTTTTAGCTCAAGCAGTTCTTATGCAGTTATGATTTGTTTCAACACCAATATACTCCTGCAAAATTGAGTAAGCTTGTCACAAAAGCAAGAAAAGAGACAGAATAGGAAGCCTTTCTGCATATGCCTGGGTAAGGCAGTATTTTCACTTTAGAACACCACCATTGAAATTACATTTCTAATTATTAAGTCTCTAGATATTTCAAATATTTCTTTTTCCTTTATTTTGGTCCAAACACCTAATTTTTAACAGTATCAATTCACAGCCTGTGCAAATGAAAATTTATTACTGTCTTTTAATTTCTGCCTTTTCAATCAGATAATGCTGAAACAAAATGTGTTAGTATTCAGTGGTGTTCACTGAAGTGACAGATTTCAAACTTACTTCATAAAGTTTTTTAAAAAATGTCTGTCATTGTCTCCTGCCTTTTTCTTTCATCCTCTAGGATCTGCATGAACTGCAGCATCTTTACATCACTGACAATAATTTGGATCACATTCCATTGCCGCTCCCTGAAAGCCTCCAAGCTCTTCATCTTCAGGTAGGCTACAAAAGCAATGGCTCTATGTATCACGTTCAAATACTAAGTAAAAATGGAAAGGGTAACTATCGTCTTGTTTAGTTTCTTCTGTTTATCCAAAAGCGTACTCAGTTAACTAAACAAATTATTGGAAACATACAGTTAACTAGTGAATATAATATTTGAAAGAAGTAAGATTTAGCTCAGTTAAGCATTAATTATTTGAATTTGTAATACAGTATTTTTCAAACATAAAATTCTAGTTTTATCGTTAGTGCAGATTAAAGTTATGTTCACAGCTGTGAAGAACAACATTATTCAAAGAGACTTCAAAGACATAAAGTTACTTTACATATTGGTTGTATCTATCTATACCAGTGCATTTCATTCTCTTAATAAATGTAATTCCAGTTGCTAAAATTTTTTCAGCCAAACTTTCCCACTTGACTGTGTTGGAACATCCATCTTCTTTCTGTATTACTTTTTTTTTTTTTCTATTTGCTTTTATCTATACCTTTGTTTCTGACCTTTTCCTTTTAACCTTTTCCACCTCTACTTCTTTCCCTTTATCTCCTCTTGTACCAATGCCCACTTTTGATGATCAGATGTGTTTATTATATAATACAGCAAAAAACCTCTTTGAATTACAGTCCTGGTGTACCATACATAGTTTGACTTTCAATAAATAAATCTATAGAAATACTCTGCCAGCTAGTTGATTGTTTTTTTCACCTGCCCATGCCTGTAAATTAAATATTCAGTGCTATATACTACAGGACAAAGCTAGTGAGCTGGACTTTTCCGTGTCAGTTTCTGGCTAGGAAAGGAATGGAGAAAAGAAGAATTTTCAGACAGCCTTCATTTTAGGAGATGACAGTCTCACTTCCTGGCAATGTATTCTAGCAATCCATTATTGAAAATAGATCACTTAAGCACAAAAGCTCAGTGAAGATAAGGTATAGAAGAGGAATTTACATCAAAGGAATAACATCTAAAGCATTCAATTTTCTCTGTATATATACAGATGTGAGTTAGGCTAATTTGAGAGGGCTTGAGGAAAGAAATTTGTCACAGATCAGGTGTCAGATTTGTGCATTTGCAGGTTGAGACCTTTCAAGCTTCCAAGATGATAATTATGGTCCTATGATTTTTGGTCTGGCCTATGCTGGTTCCAATTTACATTAATAAGGCTCTTCTGTATGATCCTGGAAATCAAAACGCTCTATACTTCTATCAGGCCTCTGCTACAAAGCCTGTCTCTGCTACACTGATTGAGTCACTCAGTTTTGAAGCTTTGCACTGGCCAAGAAATTTGACATTCTATACCCCTGGTAACAATTATCTCTCTAGGCACTGAAAATACCTCCATAAATTGTTCTTGAAAGACTAAAAAATTGCTTTCAAACAACTATTCTGATATCTTTTTTTTGTTGTTTTCTTTCAGAACAACAACATTCAAGAGATGCATGAAGACACTTTCTGCAAAATGAGAGATTTTACTTATGTACGTAGGACTCTTGAAGACATCAGACTGGATGGTAACCCCATCAACCTGAGCAAAACACCTTATGCATACATGTGCCTACCCCGTTTGCCAGTTGGTAACCTCATCTAAGCTTTGACAGAAACCAATACTCTCATAAACTGTAAAAATATTTAAAGAATAATTATTAGCTCACTGCTACACTAAGCAATATGTATTTTTTTCAAATCTCATTAATATGGGAAACATTTCTATTAATAACGATATTGATTACTGAGATACAAAGAGTAATATAAAATGCTAAAAGCCAACTCCATTATGTATCCAAGTGTAAGTTGCATAGCAATATCAAGAAAAATATTTTACTGAAAAAACTGTACTGAAGGCAATAAGATGAATGTAATTGCAAAATTTTGTGTTGAATTATTCAGAGTTAATGTACGAATTCTAAAGTTAAATAATTTTATGTGTTAAAATCTAACTATGACATAGTAAATAAAGAAGTAAAATATGCGTGCACAATTGAATATTTATTCCCTTTTCATTTAATTAAACATTTTTCTCTCAGAGGCACATTCTTTTTTCTTCTTCTTTCCTTAAACATCCTTTCATTTTGGAAAAGTAGTAGCAGTATTCTAAAAAGCATGTTTTCTTTAGCAAACAGAACCTCTCCTTGAATCGATAATGAAATATAGAGGTTAAACTTGTACCAAATTAACCCCCAAAAGTACATAAACTCTTTATTTATACCTTTACAGTAATAATTGTTCTTTGTAATGCTGATGAAGCCCAAAACTGTATTCTGTATCTTTGATAAACTTGCCTGCCAGATTTTCTGACAAATAAAAAACTCAAGTAAAGTAGTCTATTTGAGAAATACTGAACTTCATTCTGCATAGGAAGTGGAAAAAATTCCCCTTGATATCTTTCCACTGTCCCACAAATTATTGCAGTTCAATACAGTAAGGACCATAATTCAGAGACCCAAGTCACAGATATCCCTGTGGAGTCATGGGTCAGTTTCCGATTATTTGAAATAATTTACCTTTTCTGCTTTACTCTTTAAGAGCCTTACTAGTCAAAAACTAGGCAATTCCCTCCCATTGGGTAGCTTAATCAACTCTCTTCTTTTTGTGGAGGAGTTTTAATACATTTTTATAGGGAGAAAGCACCAAGAAAAGATCCGCTAGAAGCAACATAGGTACTTGCTTGTTCTGTTCTACAGTGACGAGCAGCAAATAACACCTACACATCTTCAGTGACAAAGGTTTGATGAAAGACTTCAGCCAAAAAAAAACCCCATAAAACATAACAAATCCTTCCACTTACACAAGTTGATATTTGTCTAACATCAAAGCTCCCTTTCATCTAACCGAACATACATGCTGATTTAAAGCACAAGTGCAGCTGAATTACTGAATTTCTATTGAGCCAAGCAATGGAAACTGTTCAGAGAGACCACATTCTTCAGCCTCATCACCACTTTCTGGAAGAGAACACATTGGGAACATGGACAGCAGGTTTATATGCAAAGACCTCAAACACTGATGCTGAGAAAATAAACAAAGACTCTGTTGCAACATTTTATGGTAATCTAATTAACATGAATATGAGACTCCTGCAGAAAAAGAACATTTCCACATCCAGATGAGTTTTGTTACCTACAAAATATGTGTGTGAATGTCAGCCTCTACTGATTACTTCACACCCTCATTGTGAAGCTCTTTCCCCTCCAGCAAATGGAAGTGTAAGCAAAAGATTTCCTAGGTTCGAATGATTGACTTGCCCACAAAGGGAGAGAAAATGAATAAATAGCTTTCAAATAGTCACAGATTATAATGCAATAGATGAAACTGTGCTGCCAAAGAACTTCTGGGATCTGAGTAGGTGATGGAGCTGGGAGGAAGGAGGTAGGTGAGGCAGAGACAGGATATGTAGTGACATGATGAAGCAAAAGAGGAAGAAAGCAGGGTTGAGAGTAGAGAGAGATTATTCTTGTTCTCTTTTGTCTTGCTGAAAAGCAGGAGAGCAGCAAAATCCCAGAATTCTTGTTCTCTGTCTGCATTTATTTTTATCCTAAAGACATTCTAGCCATTTCTTTCCATCCACATCTCACTCCCCATGCTATCACCAGCTCTTCATGTTCCCCGTGGAGCAGATGTGCTCTAGGAAAGATAAAAATTCAAGTGTTGAGGTGGGAAGTGAAGGAAACCACTAAAGCCTCTTTCACAGTTGCTGCAGCAGGTTGGATCTGTCCCTAAGCTCTTGTGCAGAGGTCAAGTACCATGTGGTTGTCCCTACCCTGTCTGTTTCAGTGAAGATGTTTATCAGTTGGAGAGGGCAACCCTTGCTAATCGTTACGAGTATGGTGCACCCCAATTATACAAAGGAATGTGGGTATTGGCTCCCAAGCATATTCTATGGTGTTTACCTGCAACCTGAAGACTGTTTTGCAAGCTACTCTCAGATCAAGGACAGTGAGGAAGGGGCATGTTGTAAAAATGTAGAAATTTCTACAGATAAAATGGCAGATAAAAATCAACCATTGTACTCCAGTAGAGAAGAAATATTAAACGGAATATAACCTTTCTGAACTCTGCCCTGGAAGAAACCTCCAAAACCACAGATAAGAACTCCATCCCTTTTATAGTGGTCAGCTATACTAATCTAATGCAGACTTATCCACTTGTGGAAATTGAGCCAGGGAGTTCACAGTTTCTGTGTGCATGTTCTGCTTTTTGTGTGGTTTCTCTGAACTTCAGTCTTTGCTCCAAATTACAAACCAGGCCAAGTCTCATGGAACTCAGCTGTGATGATCAGGTACAGACTTGCTTCGCGTGCACAGACCTGAAGCCCACTACCAAATTCTGTTCTTCAGAGGTTTGGGAGATATCCTCAGCATGCAGAGTACATGTGCTACCTGCTCTGCTACTTTTCTCTGCCTAAGCCTTAGCTTCTCTTCTTCTGCAGTTCAGTATTCTGCAACAGCACTACCAAACATAAAGTCTAAGCCTGTGCGTGTCTTTCAGAGCAGTCTTGCAACTTCCCCGTTCAAGTATGTGCCAGGTGTATGCCTGCATTAGGGAAAAGAAATGTTCTGACTTTTGCAACTGTGAATGTGCGATACAGGCAAAAAGTCAATGTGAAATTTCACCAAAAGGAAAAGGTGTACCAAAACTGCACCTCAGGAGAAGCAGGCAAAAACTCCTGCAACATGTCCTTTGGTCCGAAATCTCATACCTGACATACACCAGAAACAAAAAGAGTGCTGGAGATGCAGAAACTAGACAACGCTATTCTTACTGACTTCTGTTTCCAATGACTGTGAAGCCACAGGACCAATCTGACTCAGCTTGTGAGACCCATGAGAATCTCTGCTGTTCAATACTGGGTAATTAAGTTACAGGCAGTTGATGTTAAATATTTAGTTTCTATCAAAGGGCTCATCTACAAGAAAATCCACACAAACATATTCTGCAGAAAGGCTGAAGCTGTCCATGTTAAACAAGGAGAGAAGTAATGACATCAAATCAAATTAATCTGGTCATCGTGAGTATTAAGCTACTTTTACATGTCTGAAGGAATTTTTCTTGACATATTGAAGATGAAGTGACAATGCAGTTTGGAAAAAGTTGTATTTGCTGAGTCAATATGTCTCTTCAGCAAGAACTCAAAATTGATCACAGATAAGGGAGTATTATTACCTGAATGAGCTGTTAAAGAAATCTTTCTTTTGATTTGCAAACTTCCCTGAAGTTCTACAATCTGACCAGGAGGTAAAGAATGACTACAGAACCTGCTATAATTAATGTGATAAGCCAGAGAAAGTGTTCCAAAAAGTTGCCATGGTTAATGACATGACCAGACTACCATTTTGTACATCGAGTTTGAGATCACAAACTGTATCTGGAAGAACAATCAGGGCTACCTTGATTAGGTGAAGACTGTGAACATTCCTCTTTTTCCTTTTTTTTCTTTTTTCTTTTTTTTTTCATTCATCTGTGGAGCTGAGCTCGATAACTGTGAAGATTCATGAGCAAAACCTGTGCCTATCTGTAAAACAAAAAGGCATTAACATTTTGTTTTACTGTGCCTCTGTTAAGCATTTCATGGACCACTACTGCCACCGTGTGCTGATAAACAGTAGCACTAGAGATCATACCAAAGCCTAACATTAAGGGTAGCAGTGACTTGACTTTGTTTATGCTTAGTACACTTTATCCTATGCACATTTTTTTCCATTTTATCTTTAATGAAAGATGAAGGAATGCGAAGCTCCTTCAGTAGAAAAGCAAATTAACATTTTGTGGATTTTTTTTTTTTTTAATCAGCCTAGAAAATACAGAAAGGAAAAAAAATCCTTTTTGTATAGGATATTGCAAACAAATATTTAGTAGTTTTAAGAATATTATACTATTTTTCTTAGACTTGTATTTAAATTGATAGGCTAGAAATACCATCAGAACAATTTATGTTTTAAGGCATAATCCTATACTGGTGCTTTAATTATTAAACACCAAAATTCAGAGTTGTCATCTAACATTGATGACACCTCTCAGCAAAAGATGGACACAGATTCTGGTCTAAATGTGAGTTGACATCACTTACTATGAAACCATAAGCCTGATCTGACAGTATCAGTGGGTGGAGGGCTAAAACAATAGATCCCCACTTCTTCCTAGCTACAAAAGCCTTGTGAACTTCCACAGAAATGAATGCAGCCACAAAAAATCCCCACCCTTATTTTTGCATGGTGAGAATGAGGACACACTTGTTTTTTCCATAGATAAATGTATTGTATAACACCCATCTTCAGCTGAGCTGTCTTTTATGAAGCTTTTTCTCTCACCATAGCAAATTTATTTATTTATTTGTTATGTATCCCAGAAGCCAACAAAAAGGATGCTACAAATAGCACTTGGTGTGATGTAAATATAGTATGTACAGAAAACGAAACTTGAAGTAGGCCTGCTCTCGATCTTGCTACCTTTCACAATAAAAGGGCATGAACCAGTTGATGTAAAGGGTTGGATGCAGGATTTTGAGCCAGGAGAGTGGGAAAAGCTTTTTGGCAGTGCTGACTTTCTGTACCAGGTTGTGCAAGTTACATACTCCCTTCACATCTTCCTCCACTGCATGGCC